AACTAACCTATATTAAGCATTACTGCCTGATCTCATTTATATGTTTTCATTTTAGAATAATTCTAAGTAAATTTTGTAATCTGCATATTTAGAAAGAAAACAGGCTCAGAAATGTTAGTTGATTGTCTGAGATCTGACTTGTGTTGATGCCAGACCAATGCTGTTTCCATAGCTAATTCTTTCAGTTACTGTCATCCAAGTGTTGACTGAAGTGAGTCAAGTATAATAATTTTCAAAAACCTGCTCATGTTGGGTCTGGATTCAATCATTCAGAGCTGGGGTTGAGTCCCATGTRTATAATCTGGGTCCAGTCATTAATTTCTCTTACCTTACTTGTAGAATGAAGCTCATGTTCCCTACATCCAGGGTTTTCATGAAGATAAATAATGTCATCTATGTAAAGCATGTAGCACCATGCCAGACCATTAGAAAGCCCTTAATACAGAGTTTCTGCCTAACAAAATTTTCACTTTCTACCCTTTATAATGCTACTGTTGCTATGAGTTGGGTTGTTTTGTTTTAATATTGTATCCAATAATTGGGTCATTTTTTTCTTTTTAACTGCTACGCAGAAACATAAAAGTTGGAATATAATGAAATACTACATAATATTCAGTACATGTATATTTTACATAATGTTTTAATCAGGTCACATATTTACCTCCTCAAACACTGTTTCTTTGTGGTGAACTGTCAAAATCCTTTCTTTYAGCTTTTTGACACATACAGGACATAATTGTTACCTATTGTGCAATGTGATTATAGTACCCCAGAGATTTTTGCTGTTATCTAACTGACTTAGTCTCTATAAATCAGCATTTCCTCGTCTCCCCCCCCCCCCACTATTCCTGGTCTCTGGTAACCAACATTCTACTCTCAACTTTTATGAGATCACCTTTTTTAGATTTCAGATAAGTGAGATCATGAAGTATTTGTCATCCTGTGCCTGGCTTATTTCATTTAACACAATGTCCATTTTGTCCATGTTGTTGCATATGATAGGATTTCATTCTTTTTTTAAAGGCTGAATATCATTCTGTTTTATATATGTACCACATTTTCTTTATCCATTCATCAAGTTTTATTTATTGATTTTTGTGAAAAGTGCTGCTCTGCACATGGGAGCACAAAAATCTATTTGATGTGCTGATTTCATTTCTTTTATATATATATGCTCAGGAGTGGAATTGCTGAATCAAATGATAGTTCTATGTTTACTATTTTGAGAAACCTCCATACCATTTTCCATAATGGCTGTACTAATTTATATTCCCACCTACAGTGTCCAAAAGTTCCCTTTTCTCCACATTCTTTCCAGCAATTATTATCCTTAGTCTTTTTGGATTAGATGTGATAGCTCATTGTGGTTTTGATTTTCATTATCCTAATGATTAAGGATGTTGAATATTTTTTCATATACTCATTGGTTCTTTTTATATTTTCTTGTGAGARATGTCTGTTTAGATCTCTTGCCCACTTTTTAATCAGATTATTTGRTCTGTTTTGGTTTGCTTTTGCTGTTGAGTTTTTGGAATTCCATATATTCTGGACAACCCTTTGTCAGATGTATGCAATGCAAATATTTTCTCCTGTTCCTTAAGTTGTCTCCTCACTAAAATGAGTTTTTCCTTTGCTGTGGAGAAGCTTTTCGGTTTTTATGTAATACTGTTTGTTTATTTTGCTTTTGTTTCCTATGCTTTTGGGATGTTTTCCAAAAAAAAAAATAATAATAATAATTCTTACCATTCCAATGTCCTGAAGCATTTCCCCCTGTTTTCTTGCAGTATTTTTATACTTTCGGGTTTTATATTTAAGTCTTTATTCTGAGTTGAGTTTTGTAGCTGGTGAGAGATAGGGGTGTAACTGCTTCTTCTGTATTTGAAAATCCAATTTTGCCAACATCATTACTAAGAAGACTATCCTTTCTTCAATGTGTATTCTTAGCACCTCTTTTGAAAAATCAGTTGACTATAGATGTATAGGTTTATTTCTAGCCTCTTTTTTCTTTGTCATTGATCTATGTCTCTGTCTTTATGACAGTGCCATGCTGTTTTGATTACTACAGCTTTATGTACTATGTTTTGAAGAAGCAGTTAGTTTGCTATAAAAATCAGCATATATCAGTGTAAATATATTGGACTGTCTTTGAATCCCTGGGATGAATTCTATTTGATCATGGTGAATAATCTTTTTATTTGCAGTTGGATATTGTTTGGTAGGATTTTTACATCTATATTCATAGAGGATGTTGGTCTATAGTTTCCTTTTTATGTTGTGTCCTTATCTGGTTTTGGTATCAGAGTAGTGTTGGCCTTGTAGAATATATTTGGAATAATCCCTTTCTCTTCTATATTTTGAAACATGTTAAGAAGAATTATTATTAGTTCTTCTCTAAATATTGGTAGAATTCGACAGTGAAAGYATCTAGTCCTGGGCTTCCCCCTCCCACATAGGATGCTTTGTATTAAGGATTTAATCTTGTTAACTCATTAGAACTCTGTTCAAATTTTCTGTTTCTTCATGATTTAGTCTTAAGGTGTATATATCCAGGAATATGCCCATTTCTTCTAGGTTATCAAATTTGTTGGTATATGGATGTTAATAAAACTGTTTAATGACCTTTTATATTTCTGTGGTATTAGTTATAATGTTCTCCTTTTTATCTTTGAGACTTTTCTTTTAGTAAAACCAAGGGGTTATCTCTCTTTCTTTTTTATTTTTTAATATTTTTGTAGTTATAGATGGACAGATACCTTTATTTTGTTTACTTTTACATGGTGCTAAGGATCAAACCCAGTGCCTCACACAAGCTAGGCAAGCGCTCGGCCACTGAGCTATAGCCCCAGCCCCCTCTCTTTGTTTTTATCTTCTCAAAGATCTAGCTCTTTGTTTCATTGGTCTTTTTGTTTTAATCTCCATTTATTTCYGCTCTGCTGTTTATTTCATTCCTTCTTCTAATTTGGAGTTTAGATTATTTTTGGTCTTCTGATTCTTTGAAATTCAGTGAGAGTATCTGAGATCTTTCTAGTTTTTCAGTRTAATGATTGTTATAAACTTCCCTTTTAGTCTGGTTTTTGCTGTTTTTGTCATAGGTTGTGTTTCCATTTTACATTTCTTTTTAGGAAAATTTTAAATTTCCTTCTTGATTTATTCCTTCCATTTGTTGTTCAAAAGTAAAAGACATTCAATATTTCAATTTAAAAGTTTCCTGAGACTTGTATTGTGGTTTATCATATGTTCTGACCTAGAGAATGTTCCTTGTGCTGATGAGAAAAATGTGTCTTTAGCAGCTATTGGATGGAATGTTCTGTAGATAACTGTGAGGTCCATTTGGCCTCAAGTGCAATATAATTCATTTTCATTATTGATTTTGTGTCAGGACATACTCTCTCTTTAGGTCTATTAATACATTATATATTTGGATGTTCCAATATTGTATGCACATGTATGTAGAATTGTTATTGCCTCTTGCTGAATTGATTCTTTTATCATTGTATAATGTCCCTCCTTATCTCTTTTTACAGATTTTTATTTAAAATCCATTTTATTTTATGTTAATATGACTACTATGCATTCTTTTGCCTCCTATTTGCATGGAATATTTTATTCTTTCACTTTTAGTTTATGTGTGTCTTTAGAAGTGAGGTGAGTTTCTTAAAAGCAAAATGTAGTTGGATCTTGTTTTTTTAATCCATTCATTTATATCTTCAATTGGAAAATAAATTTTTTTTTTTTTATTGTTGGTCGTTCAAAACATTACATAGTTCTTAATACAATACATCAGACACTAGAAAGGCAATTTGTCAATCAATGGAAGGGTAACTGATGTGATTCAGCAATCTGTATAGGGGGTATAATTGGGAGTTCATAACCCACTTGAATCAAATTGGAAAATAAAATTTTTAAAATTCATGTTTACATTCAAGGTCATTATTGATAGGTAAATTCTTACTACAGACATTATTTAACTTGTGTCCTAGTTTTGTTGTAGTTCTTTCTGTCTTGTAGTCTTACTTTGTGGTTAAATGAATTACTCTAGTAGTGTGTTTTGATTCCTTGATTATTATTTTGGGTTTGTTACAGACTTTTGTTTTGTGGTTCCTATGAGGCTTACAAAAAATGTCTTAATTTTAAAAAGCTTTTGAAATGTTAGAAACTGATTTCTTTAACTCTTGTGCTGGTAGTTTGGTGCATGAATAGCTCTTCAACTTGGTGTATCTATGGGAAGAGAACTCCAGAAGATCTTTCTTGACTGCTGATGTCTTGCTCTGCCCCTTCCATTTGGATCATCTTGAACATGATGATATCTCAAAACGTCTAAAGGATGTAGTTCTTTTTCTTTTTTTATTATATCAAGCAATTGCCTTCACTTTCAGAAATAACCTTTATTTTTATGGTCTATGTCTTGGGTATATGAAGAATACTACAGTAATATTTGCTTTCTTAAGACTATATACACATTTTAAATGGGAAAATTTTATCTGGTGTCTTAAGTTGCTTGCAATTTAACATTTTAAGCACTATTGTTAGTTATGACTTCCTTACCACAACTTAATGCAATTAGTATTAGAATCAGTCCCTGGTATCCTGATCCGTTATCCCACAAATTGCTAACTAAAGGATTACCTAACTTTAAATAAAGGTGATTTAAAATGGAGAACAAGCACAGATTGCATCAAGAAGTACTTAAGAGAACTCTCATTGTCCTCAAATTGTAGATAACATATTCAGAGCTTTCTGTAATTAATGTAAGAACTGGGTGACACGTTGTATACACAGCATTCTTTGTATGCCKGGTATCCAACAGGCTTTCTCTCCCCATCTGCTGATGGGAAAATATTAAGTTTGATAGAAATGTCTTGATTTTGTGGTTTCTTTCCTTCTCAAATAATATCACTTTACCAACTATCTGTCACTGATAACTCTGTCCTATTTCAGATGTTTAATTTTATAATAATGRGTTTACTTATAAAGTAAATCATTGGATTTGTTCCCACCAGTGATACCAAGAAGAAGCAGGAAATGAAGAAAAGGAACAACAGTGAAGTGGAAGATGTGGGACCAACAAGTCATCATAGAAAGAAGGCCAAGTGGGAAACCTTAGAGCCTTTGGATACAGGCCTGTCTTTAGCAGAGGATGAAGAGCTGGTGTTGCATCTACTCAAAAATCAAAGCTAAATACTTCCCATGCCTGTCTGCTCTTTGATACTTCTGGACATTCTTATGTTGAGAAGAAGTTAGAACACAGTTGACTTTGGGGCCTCTAGATATCATGTGTCCCATTCCCAAAGGACACATTCTTCAGACAAAAGCAATTTCATCTCTGAGCCCCTTCACAAGCCATGCTTTGCACCATTACAGAACATATTCAGAGTAAGGGTGGGATATTTAGTTTCTTGGTCTCATTTTGCAATGTGTGCTGTTAAATTTTACAGGTGGGTTCCTGCCCCTTCTCACTGGAAATGCTCCTTTGTTTTACTAGCAAGTTCTGGAGCCTTGTTTCATAGTTGGAAATTCCTGTATCGCTATGCAGAAGTCTCGGTGTAACTTAAAATGACTCTTAATTTTAAGGTATATTTCGTATTTTCAAAGAGATAGAGTATAGTGCACCAGCCTTGGAAAAGGAGTATTTTTTAATTGAAATGATCATTAATAAACATATTTCCTATAAAATAAAGTATTAATGTTTTCATTGTGTCCAATGATATAAAACCCTCTCTCAAGGGGACTTAATGTTCTTTGTTAAAATGCAAGGCCAGCTGGGCATGGTGGCATATGCCTGTAATCGCAGAGAATTGGAAGGCTGAGGCAGGAGGATCACAAGTTCAAAGTCAGCCTCAGCAAAAGCAAGGCTCTAAGCAAGTCAGTGAAACCCTGTTTCTAAATAAATAGAGCTGGGGACATGGCTCAGTGATTGAATGCTCCTAAGTTCAGTCCCCGGTACCAAAAATAAAATAAAATGCATGGCCAATTGCTGAAGCAGTGTATTCTTCATATTAAGTTATTCTGGTCAGGGCTGGGGATGTGGCTCAAGCGGTAGCACGCTTGCCTGGCGTGCGTGCGGCCCGGGTTCGATCCTCAGCACCGCATACAAACAAAGATGCTGTGTCCGCCGAAAACTAAAAAGGAAAAAAAAAAAGTTAGTCTGGTCAGAGATGATATCATTTTGCTTACATGTGCAGATTTGTTAGCAATCATTTATGAAATCTGTGAAAATCCAAAATCTAAGCAGTAAAGGCTGGAGACCTTCTGTGGGCACTCTGTTCAACAGATACTGTAGAGCTTCCAAACCAGCTCTTGATAATGAGGGGGGAAAGCAAAATGAGACAGAACTACTCTTTTGTTATAAATGTTAGATTCTTCAGAGGGACAGAAAGTGGTGAAGAAATCCAGGCCTTCATGAAAGAACTATTTTTTTTTAACAAATTTGTTATCCTATGCTTTACTGTTTCTATTGGTTTCTCCTCCATAGTGACCTTTTTATCCATTGTTTAACCTCACAGCTTCTGCCTTCAGTCACAGTTCCTACTGTAATCAGGACTTGCCCAGACTACTGCAGCATCTCCTAACTGATCACCATGCTTCTGGTATCACTTTCTCCAACTCAACCTTCTCAGGGAATTTTCTTCATAGCCCATGGATCTGAGCATGTTTCTCCTAGCTGTTCCTTTTATTATAGTTCTTATCATGTGATGTTATAGATGTTTGTTTATAAACCTGTTGCTCTGATATGTGACRAGTTTCTGGAGAAAAAAAAAATAATTATATTTTATATACCTGYATATCCCCAGAGCCAAATACAGCATCTGCCCTATATTTGGCCTAGTGAATTAGTAGACAGTAATAACACAAGATAATTTCTAGAGGTCTTTTATAGCACATTGCTCTGTTACTTCTAATAAGAAGGACATAGAGTTATGRACTTGAAAACTAGATAAAGTGGCTAAGGGTAGGTTGATGGGAAAGAAATTCAGGGTGTAACAATCTGGAAAGATTTGGAAATAAAGTTTCTGATACAGAGTCTCTTGGCCTTGAATATTTTCAAATATGATAAAGTTGCAAGAATATATAAACTGAAGATTGAATTACTATTGAATTTACTCTTCATTTTTAGATTGTTCTTCCTAACACAAATAGGGAAGTAGGTCAGTTTAATTACTCCCTAGATGTAAACATTAAATAGATAAATTTCAAGGCTGTTGGTTCATAAACTAATTTGAGTTGTATTCTGTCCCTGGTACTGAATGGATCCTGACTAATATGTTCATTATTGAGTTTTTAGTAGCTTTTGGGAACTAGTTAAAATATAAGTACAGTGCTAATAGAAAACTTATGTAACAAATGTGTGTGTGTGTGTGTGTGTGTGTGTGCGCACGCGCGCGCAATTTTTGTTGTTTTTGTTGTTGTAGTTCAGGGGCACTTCACCACTGAACTACATTCCTGGCTCTTTTTATTTTGAGACAAGGTCTTGCTCAGTGCTGAGGTTCAAACTTGTGATGTTCCTGCCTCAGCCTTTGGAGTTTCTAGGATTAYAGGTGTGTGCCACTATACCCACAAATATTTATGTTAACTGATTAAATTAGCTACTGTTCTGCCTATTTGTATTTTAGCCTCATGTATGGGAAGGAGCAGTAAGAGACCTTGTCATCTCTGACATCAGAGAACACATGGTCCAAATCTGGTCAGCTTCAAAGCCTTTCTCCTAGATACAGATATGGGCCCAAAAGTGATTATAATATTCAGTTCAGGACAGTTAGACACCTTTCCTGTGAGTGATATGTGTAAGATGAGAAATTATCCATAAAGAGTTACAACAAAAATGGAGGATATGGATCTGGGTTTTTGCAGCCATTGACTCCTGCTAAATGGGGTCACCTCTGAGAGACTGGGGAGAAGATGATCAACACACTGAGGTAACCAGAGTGAAGGACTAKAGAGCCCTGATGGCATTGTTGAAGCCCCAGGACTTCAACTTAACCTACTCCTTGGACTTCCTAAGTATGTCATGAGTCAGTAATTTTTTTTCTAAGCTAGTTTGAAATTGTACTTTGTACTGGAACTGAATGGATCCTAACCTATATAATATTGTAGTGGATTTTAGTTTGACTTGAAAACTAGTTAAAACATTAGAATAGTGCTGATAGAAAATTTAGGCACAGTAGATTGTTTTATTAAGCATATGTTCACTCCAGTCCTCTTTTTTCCTTTGGGAAGCATATTCTTAACACGGCACTGATGTTTGGCTCATCCATATGACTTGCTTTTAGCCCATGGAATTTGGCGGAAGTGGCTGTGTTCTGGTCATAAGCAGAAGTTCTCTGTTAGCTCTCCTGTACTCCTGCCTCCCACCTTCTGACCAGTATGGACCAGAGAGAAGATACACCTTCAATATGGGCCCAAAGCAGGCAGACGGGTGAAGCTCACTATAGCCTCCACAGTCACTTATCAAGCTTGTGGAAAGAAAATCAGTGACCCATGGGGCTTATCACAGGAATACCTGATTAACAGACAAGGTGAGAGAAGCATATAGCCAAGGAGAAAGAGCAGGCATTTCTTTAAGTGTTAATAAATCCAGTGACTACCATATGCCAGGCCCTGTGTTTATGAGAAATCCAAACAGTTCCTTTCCTGCTACCATATTGGGGTATACTTACAGTATACCATGAAAAGAGGAAGATTATTGTTTTATTGAGGGAGCTATTGTTGAAGTGCTGGAAAGAGAGAAGGCAGGTAGTTAGCATGTCCAGGATCCAAAGACTAATTTTTGCTGTTTCACTGAGGCCGAGAGGCCATTTGTCTGACTTGCTCATGTAAAATGATCCCTAAAATTACATAAGTCTCTGATAGATATACCCAACAGCAGAAGCCTTTGGAGGACTGCCATCTCATAAGCTTCACATGGCACTTTAGATTTGTTTGGGGCTATAAAAAATGGATAAGTTTAATTAAATATAATTAATTTTGCTACACAACACTTGAAATATCCTGAACATGAAAAGTCCTCTCTGAGACTATCAGAGGCTGCCAGAGGATGCAGGTGTTCCCAGGAGGTGGTGGTGTAYGTAGGCAAAGGGGAAAGAATCAGCAACCAACATCCAAAACCTATTTCATATGTTTTAAGACCACTTCAACTAGACATGTAATCATAGGGTGATTTCCTTCAACAGCTCCTGCTGACTAGACAGCCCAGGGCTGATATATTTTAAACCATAATACCTAGTGCTTGCTGAATCAGCAACTGGCAGCCAAACCTTTATTTACCCTTTGAGGCACACCGGCAAAAAGCTTTGTTCAAACAGGGACAAACTGAACAAATAATATTATTCTCAGACACTGAAATTTAGTGAGCAAAGTGGGAAGCCTATGAGACTCACATGCTGGGCAAAAAAAAAAMAAAWYAGGACAAAGTGTAAGTGAAAACTCTGGTAGGAAAATAAAAAGAATAATAAGAGATCCCATGGTTCATGGGGGACCAGAAACCATGTGTGGGCAGGGGTGAATCATGGCTGGGGRTGGCTAGGGAAGGCCCACCCACTCTGGTTTTGATATCTCTGTGATCCAAACTGACCCTCTAATTCTTGTTACCATGAGACTTGATAAGAGAAAAAATTCTCAGATGTCTTAAATTTAATTACAAGTGTCTGAGAAGAGAGATGTGGAGGCTAAGAAGGACAAAAGACCATTTTATGTTCCTGAATGTGTGTTAAAACCTTAACCCCAATCCCATCAGGACACTCTAGGTACCACTGCATTTTGCTTAACCCACCACTTCATACGTAAAGATTCTCCTTATGGACTGTCCTCCCATCCTAGAGCTTTCCCTCATTCATTTAATTCTGTCCCTCTTATCTACAGCCAGCGTAGRTTCAACAGAAACAACTTATACCTTCCTTCACCAGATTTTTTAATTAAAAAATACTCTTAGCTCTGATCCAGCAGACATTTTGCCACTGCTACCTAGTCTTGCTACTTGTAGCTGCAAAGGCTTGTCCTAGGGCCAGTCCTTTTCTGGTCTGCTTCTATAATGGCTCAATAATCCTTTTTAGTTCAGGGACCCCTTGGTCTCAAGAATTTTGGTTTCATAGGCCTAACCTTCTCATGGGTCTTATTCTTAGGTTTCTGGGTAAGTATGTCTGACTTGTGAGACCCCATCACTGGAGCTAGTTCAAATGAGTCTTTGAGTGTTTTGCATCCCACAAARCTTCACTGAAATTCAGAATACTCTAAGGCAGAGCTTCTTAGATGTCAAGATGCATAAGAGTCACCAGGAGATTTTTAAAATATCCAATTCAGATYCAGTAGGTCTGGGGTGGGGCCTGAGATTGTACATTTCTAACCAGCAGGGGATGGCAATGCTGCTGACCCATGGTCACATTTGAGTGTTGAAGCTCTAATGGAATTCAGAGAGAAAGAGAGCTATTAAAATAATTATTCACAAAGATATCCTATCAGAGCCCCAGCAGGAAATAGGTGGTGCATACAAATTAGGATAATTCTAAGGGAGGTTAATAAAAGGMTTATTTACACACAAGAGGGCAGGATATAAGGGAACACAAAGGATTTCTACCACTCCTCATCCTGAGAGGATTGGGGTAGGGTGAGGGGAGTAGTTGGTTACCAAAATCCTGAAGGAGACAGATGAGTGCACACAGTGGCTTTATGACCTTTAGTTGAGATATGCACCCAGCCTGTGGTGACACTAGGAAGAGCCAAGAGAATAAATTCCTGCCAGTGGCACCCATTGGCCCCACCCAACCCAAAGCCAAGTTACCTTGTAGGTATGATCTGTAGCTTCCCAGKACACAACAAAG